AAGTGAAATAACGTTTAAATATGTGTTCGCATATATTTAATTAAATCATCATTATTGTTAAATGTTAATATATATATTAATTGATTTTAATTGAGATAATGATGAAATAAATATAAAATATATAATTGGGAGTGTTTGGTAACATGAGGTGTTTGGTAACATGAGGTGTTTGGGTTGGAGTCCAAGCCTATTCCATATGGGAATAGGGCAACTAAGTTTTCAATATAAAAGAAAAGAGTTATTTGCAAAATGTGTGTTAATTCATTCACTGTTCATTTTCTCTTTGGAAACAAAACATAGCAGCCCCAAACTCTCTCCCACGGCAGTATTTCATTTTGCCCAAAATCAATTCATTTGATTTTTTTCTTCTTTAATTTTAAAGCTAAGGAGGATCTAGCAAATCTCTCATTAGTTCTTTGTGATTGTCTTCGTGTGGACTACGTGGGTTCGATCCTACACTTGGGTTGGTAGCAAAAACGTTCATTGACAAATTTGGAGGAGCCTCCAAACATGCGTATGTTTTTCTAAACTCATGATTAATTTCTGCAGATTCTTATTATGATAAAACTGTAAAATTATACCTTTGATCTTGGCTCTTTGGGAACGATCCTTGTGTTATTATGTTTTTGTTTTCTGTTGCATATATGGACCATTTCCTAACATCCATGAGTTGGATTTTTCTATAAGTTAATTAAGCTAAATCGAGCCCCAACTCATTAGCCCTTTTTCGTTCTACAATGGGACCTAGAGTTCTATTTACTTCTTAATTCATCCAAGATTTCTAATCTTATATGAACTAGTACTTCTACTTCTACATGAATTAGAACTACAAGTTTTTTGTTTACTCAAACTCCTATCATGAGAACGTTTAGTTCTATAAGGACTCAAGCTTCATTGACTCACTATATAAACAAAGGTATAGCCTCTCATTATTCATTCAATCATAGCCCCTTCTGCTAGTTCACTAAGTTCTTGCTCTCAAGAACCATCGTCTTTCCTCGTCGTAGAGCTTAGTTCTGACTAAGTCTACTTCTCGTAGGTGTCGTAGAGTCGTGCCTTGACCACTTTACGCCAATAGTTGCACCCTAGCCAAACACTCAAGGTAAACCCTTTCCTGCTCTTAGTCTTACAAATATTCCCTTCAACCGTGTTGATTTAAGCGTCGAAATACCTACGACCGACACTACATCGGTGTCCCTCGCGCCTTCGTGTTCACTTTTTTTGTCCCTGTAAGTCTATGAGATTATCAGTGACTTCATTCTCACAAGATCAACCTTGTTTAATTCAACCGTAGATTTTATTGTCTACAATATATAACAAAATAAAACAAAAATTCTTTTTTAAGACATTAAAAAATATAATTAAGAGATTACTTGAATTTGTTAATATCCAATCCTAGAAGAGATTGAATTCTTATCTTTTATTTTATTTGAATGAAGAATACAATTTTAAGTTTGGGTTATTGGGTTGGATTATCTCGTATCCAACTTATAATTGGACTGGGAAATGGAGTAACAAAATGTGAACCCAATTTGATTGGTCTGATGAGGCTGATTGATAAATATGGGCCAGATTTTGTGTTGGTCCACTAGTTTGTGGTAATTGACAAGGATGGTAGAGTGGGATAAATGAACTTGGTTGCTTTAGATCTAACTCTTATAAATTGATATGCGATTAGTATGGTGTAATAATGCAGTTGAGTATTATGAGAACTTAGGTGTTATAGGGTAGGGAGGGACAGGTAGAGATTGCGATACTTGGAGATCAAAATTAAATAAAAATTGCCTTATTTTCCACTTTCTTTCCATAAAAAATAAAAGAGATAATCATACTATTTAACCATTCACATATTTTCTCATAATAAAATTTGAAAGGTTATTATTCTACAAATTAATCAAAAATATTATTCTACAAACAACTAATTGAGTCTAATTAATTGGTAGCTAATATTATTCTACAAATTTTACCTAGGGATAGCTAGAGATTTATATGGATTCAAAGTTAGGTGAGATTACAATCCTTGGAGCTACATAATTGCCTTATTTTTTATTTTCTTCCAAATTCTATTGGTTTCTAATAAATCCATGTTCAATAATTAATATCATAAAGACAGGCAACTCTTTCTCTTTATATGTGGACACACTAATTCATTGATTTATTTGTTTTCACCAACAAACTTGAAAGTTACTATTTGAAGTAAAAGGTGTTCCCTCATAAAAATGAAAAATGTTCACCCGAGGTGGCTAAACGGTTAATTAAGATTCGTAGGTGTACTACTTAAGAGGTCTTAAATTCGATTTACTTTATCTCTTAATAGGGATGTCTACTAGAGGCTTATCTAGTCGTTAACTTTAGGACTCCGGAGGATTAATTGAAATACGTGGAAACTGACCAAAAGAATAAAGTATTTTCAAAGTTTTATATTACATACCGCATAGATGAATAATTTAATAGACATTGTCCCCACTCCCAAATCAAAGTTTGTATTTGTTATGATATTTAATCAAATATTAAATGTAATTACATGCTTTTAAAAACTATTTTATTAAATTAGATGATATATTTTTTTACTTATCAAAACTCTTTCATAACCAGGGCCAAATTCCTTTAACTGACTCTTCCATGCCTAATGAGCTCATAAATAGGCAGCTACCATGAGCACGCAAGCTAGTGGAGTACAATTAATTGATAGTCAAAGCCAGGGCTAGTGTATTATTATATTAAATATATACCTAAATCAGAATCTCATAATATCACCAGTCGATCCCAAAGTTCCAGTTCAAAAGGAAAAGGCCTCACTATTCTATTATGATTATTATTAATATATAAAACTTCAACAGAATCAAACACCGCACAAAGCTCCAGCATGCTAGCATCAACTTGCGTTTTTTCAGTTGAACCCATGAGGCTTTGTCTACTTGCGATACCAAAAATCATTTAAAAAAAAAAAAAAGCAATATATTTTAATTTAATTTGCGATACCAAAAAGCTCCAGCATGCTAACATCAGTGTACGTTAATTTATTAGTTAGTATCTTTGTGGATTCATAAATATTAAATGGAACAAATGATCTTCCTGCCTTGACTTTAAAACTAACTTAACGACCATTATATGTCTTTATCTTCGTCTAAGTGGGAACCAATTCCAAATACCAGAGATTTGATATATTCAAAGCATGCATTTCTTTTTTAATTTTTAATTTTAATATTTTTTTGGATTATTTAAGTGTTGTCCTTGCCTCCTAACCGCACATATTACAGCTCTAAGATTCCATGTATACGGCTTAGATAGAACTGCAATTGATGGGCATGTGCAGAGAGAATTTTTTGATTTTTGTTAGATAAGAGAAAGATGAGTATATGTGCGCTTTCATTTTTACAAGATTTTTTGTTTTGGTAATGTAAAAATACGTATACTATGTATTCCATCATTGTATTTCAGAAACATGAAGTAGCGTACTCTAACTTTAAAGTAAGATAAATTTCGAAACCTACCTCTTAAACTTGTTAATAACTTATGATATTTTCGTCTCATAAATATTTAATATATACTTTATTGATTAATTAAATATGAGGTATTTATGTTAAAATGTATTAAGTGGTACGTGTAATTGATAGTATAAAGTATAAACATAGTATCGGGTATGTATATATTCTTAAAAATGATTCCCACAAATATCACAATCAGATTAGTTTCGAGGATATTTTGTTAAAACAAGGTATCATTTAAGCTAGCATGATAATACCGCAACAAAGATCAAGACCAAAAAGTATGAGTGGGGCTCCATTTTATGACTTCTTTTTTCCCCTTAAATTTTGTCAGCTTTCTAACCTCACATCTGGAATATGCTTTGCAATATAAGATAAAGTTGTTGAGAAAGGGTACCTGTGCAGTTTGCTGTGCTGTGCTTAATCAGTGGAAATGAATCAAGTAATCTCATATGTGGTTTAGCGAAATCCCAAATTGATACCTTTAATTGCATTTATTTTAATTAACACCCTTAAACTAACATCATCAGTGACTATTGAAGGTGCTTGGAAACAGTGAGTGAGGTTAGCAAGTGAAGGTATAAATTTTGTAGAGGAGGTTGTGGGGAGTCCAACGATGGTCTTGAAAGTGATTTTGGACTTCGGAATTGGCCGAGAAAAGCAAAAAACCGCCAACTTGGATGTTGCTAACATGAGCCCATATTTTGTCAAAAAAAAAGCTTTGATGCATTTTAGTGTGTTAACGTGCACCGTGTTACAGTAAAAAATTGAGAATCTGTTAAAATAAAGGAAACAACGTTATTTTAAAGGTGAGAATCTGAAATAAATATAATTAGTGGTATCAACTTGGAATTTCGTCAAACCTAAGGTGAGAATATGTCATTTGCTCTATATCGAAAGATTAAAATCTACGCGGCAATACCCCAATCTTATCACTAAAAAACATACACATATAAACATTAAAACTGGCTCATCATCAACAGCTATGCTTAAAGTTTACCAAGAGTCCAAACCTTTTTAAAATTAAGGATCAATAGCAATTATGTAAATCTTTATAGAGGATCAACAACAACTTTGTATAGACTTGAAGAAATGAATCTGTTATAAACAAACACAATTTTACGTAGATTTAAGTCCATACCTAATAACTTTCATGGGATTTAATAAAGGACTGTTCTGACTTCTGCGTGAAAACACAATTAGCAAACCATTTAAGTTTGAATCTAAAAAAAATATAATTTTAAATAGGGTCAGATTCTCTCATCACTCCTCGAATCCATAAACATCTCAGCCGTATTTCCTATATGGCTATATCTACTCTTGACTATGAAATCAGCAAGAGAAATTCTTTTGGTCGTACATTTTTTGATTTTGACTTATTGATACTGCATGATTACAATTTATCTTTTACCCACGAGGGACGGAAACGAAAAGGAATTGCAGAGAGAGAGAGAGAGAGAGAGAGAGAGAGAGAGAGAGAGAGGCTTATTATAAACAGTTTTTGATATTGCATATTATTTCCGACTTACATGGTGCAAGAAATGAGTAATTACAATAATCAAGACAGAAAGGGTACTGTTTCAAGTAAACTTTGCATTAAAGCTAATCCAATGAATCCCAGATAAGAGGCTCTGCTAGTTGAATTGATCGAATAAAAGACAACGAGCAATTTCAATTGTTGATGGAGTGCCCAACACCTGGACTGTGACCTGGTGTCGTGGGTCGAAAATCATCAACATATTCCGCCTTACTTGTCTGCTCTTGGCTGGAGTCCGTAGCTTGAACTCCACCTTTTTGTACACTCAATGTGTTTTTGACATGCTTGGAACATTTCTTGCACAATCTAGACTTCAGATGCCTTCCTTCAACGCAAATAAATTCATTGGATAAAATCAAGACGAGAAAGAAAAAATAAGCAACTGTAATTCTAGTCTTTGCCATATTTAAGAGGGAGTATGAGTTATATAGGACTATTAAGTAAGTAAATAGAGAGAAAAGCCAGGAGGGGAAGAGCTTTTATTAAGATATATATCCTGCTCTTCTTCTGCTAGATGTCTGAGGACTTAGAAGAAGTGCACTCCGAGAACTTGGATCTTCTTCTAGCGTAGTAGAAGGGGTTTAAGAAGTGGTTTAAAGCCTATTGTTGGGCAAGAGTTGAGATGGGTATTTAAGGTAGTAATTAGGGCAAGAGCATGTGCAGGTACCTCATCAGCGGGAAGATTCCTCCCAAGAAATTATACAAATTAAAGAGACATTGGATGGCTCACATTAAGGTTGAACCCCGACCTCTATTCAGAAGTTGAAATGCGCCAACTACAAATATTGGCTCTTGATAGTTGTAACAATATTCGAAATCCTACCCCACAGCTCCTGCAACTAGTTATTTCGTTTAATATACGCATATACATAAATACAGCCCTCTACATTAATTCATGTAATTGTATATATTTAGGTAATATCAATGTGATCCTCACATTGTCTTTCTAAAAATAAGTGATTTTAGTGGTGTAACATTACTCATGTTATGAACATTTCATTTTGAATATTGTACAATCATTCTTATTTAAATTTCAAGTGTGATGACTTTGTGTTAAAAGTGACCACCTTATATAATGTTGTTTATTTACTATATCGGGTGAGTACCTCTGAGTCAAAGTGATCACAATATATCTAATAGATTTTTTTGGCTAACACGTGCAATGCTTCTAGAATACATGAATTGTTTTATTCTCTTATGAGATATTTGTGTGGTCCATAACACGTGTCAATTTTATATTCAATGTGATGGAAAGTTTTATTCACTTTGATAGGTATCTTGATTTTGGAATAAACATACATAAAAGTTGGATTCAATAAAGTTATTCTTTGTCACTTATTCCCTTGCATTGGGGGCCAAATTTTCTATATATTTGTCTCCTCCAATGCAATGCTTCTCTAGCCTGATTGTTCCTCTGATATTACTCTGAAAATTCTTTGAGGTTTCTTTTGTTTTGAATCAGGTTTCATATGCCTTAAGTAGACTTACAAATACTTTTGATAAACTTTGTTTATTTGTTCATGACTGGAACGTGAGTTTCAGTTTCCATTGGTGATGCTTGATGAGATTTTAAGCTTTTGGAGCTAAAGTGTGTCTTTGGTGTTGATCATTGAGAGGAGCTCAAGGTTGACCAGGTGGTCTTGTGAACGTGGAGCTTGTTGTGGTAGTTAAAAGTTCGACTAAAGGGTGGAGTCTGAAGCATTGCAAATAGGGAGTGTTCCTTCAATGATGCTTAATTAGCTTTGTAATTGAACTGTAAATGTTTATCATAGTGGATTGACTTCATCTGGACTTGGTTCCATGAATATATGCACGTTGCCGAACCATGAAAAAATCTGGTGTTGTTTTTCTTTGGTTTATTTTTATTACTTTATGTTTATGTTCAAAGAACTCTTACAATCAACATAGCAACTATTTTCGTTTAGGATTAATTCACTTGGTAAATGAATGAAATATTTCAAAAAGAATTATACTATAAAATATATGATCAAAAGGCACAAACATGCATGAGAAATATCTAATATGTATCGTTTGTTTATTTTGGTCATACTCTAAAATTTTATATTTTATATTTATATATTTTTGTATGTATGTATGTATATATGTATTTACATACAGAGTTTGTTGAAGATGTACTTAGACAAAAGATCTAACTAAAGACTGATGTTAAAAGCAATTGGATGATTAATCAAATGATTCTCGATCTGGACAATCCGTCTTATATACCTTTCAGAGAATCCAAGGGTTGCACACTTGCACTGGAGTTTTTAAAAATGTAAGGGAGTGTCGTCTCCCCATCCCCACTATTCCACATGCATCTTCCCACTAACCATCCCACTAACAATTAAGCTCACAACAACACTGTTTATTTGGACGGTTCCTTGGTGTTTACCCTTCCTTAATTTTTATTCTTAATCGTAGGCAGACCTAACTTTTACAACCAGAGGTCCCAATTAAAAAGCTAAAAAGAATTTGCTATACCTAGTTCTAACATCGGTCATTATTAGCTTCCAAAAAAGCGCAAGATTCCCTGGCAGTTAATGGCGAGACCCAAAAATAGAACCAAAAGGCGGCCTCCTAAGGTTGGGGAGGTTTCTTTCTACTTTATATATGCGTTATATTATAATTTTATAAGTTTCCCGGACAGGAAATATTGGACCCCAGTTAATCGCTCCAGTCCGCTAGTGCTCTTCTGTCAATGTGATAACCTTTTAATATTTGAATTTTCTATAAATATATTGGTTTTTTTAAAGATGCTTCTCACTGTCAGTACTTAACTTTTATTTATTTATTTTTGTTAAGATGTCTTAAGGACCTCGAATTTTTCTATGGAACGGTTCCCTTATTCTTAATTAGAAAATTTGGGGCAAATAATTTTTCTATTATGAAAGCTTTATTTCTTATTTTGATAAGTTAAACTTTTTATAGTTTAATTATTTTTAAGCATTATTCCATTAAGTTCCGAATGTGGATTTAACAATATAAAGAGAACGTACGATATGTTAAAAAACTTATTCACTTAATGAAATAGCAGCTGGACCTATCTTGGCATAATTAAGCCAATATTTAGTGTTGAATGATTAATTAATTTATTTCAGTTGAGCTGAGCTACTTAGCAAGGCGTGCATCATAGCGACATAGCCTATATATTTTAAAATCAATCTAGCTTTGTATATGTACATTTCTGCTTTATTTTCCAACATACGTATTATCTTTATAAAATGGAACAGAAGAACCGCAAAGGAAAAAAGCAAAGAGTTAGGAAAGTCAATATAATATATATATTGATGGTAAATTATTCTTCACTAGAAGTTTATAGATATGAATTACATAATATGGTCTAAGTTTCATACTAAAATGACTACACATTCTCTTTGTTAATTTGCAAACAGTAATTCATGCTCATAATGCATTATTTTTGATAACATAATTCACACATTAATTAATGATTATCTCATGCTACTCATTTAATCGTCACCCTCTTCAATAAAATTCTTCATGTATATTGAACTCAAACCAAAGTGATCTTGACAATCCCAGTAGCATTGTTCATCATAATAAGACTTGTTGGTAGTTGTTGGTTGCCAACCTTCTTTCTTCCTCTCTTTATCAAATTCACAAATTAGTCAATGACTGATAACTTACTCATAATCCATACATTTTGGTTTAGATATTAATTTTTTTTTTTTCCCTGTAGAGCATTGCATTGAAATGTCCATAAGGCGTTTTATGCTTCTTAGTTTACAGAAAAACAACATACTTAATAATGTTGTAACAATAACAACATAGAGGTAGTTAGCTGGCCATGCATATTTAGGAGGTACGTCAATGATTTTGGTGATCATTGTAGTAAGAAAAATATATGATATTGGGGAGAGATAAAAACTTTACAGAATATAAGGAAAAGTACTGAACCATGCTTGATGCTTTACATATACATATGGCTCTACAGCCTTCTTACACGCGGAAAACAATGTAAAACATCTAAATAAAAAGGGAAATACATATATACAGTGAACAAACTAAACAACAAGAAGCTAGGAATGCAAATGCAGGAGTACCCTAACAATGCAGAAGTACCCTAAGCTGGAAATCAACTAATGCAAATATTGATATCAGAATCTTTTCATTTGATCAATGCCTTAGTTGTGAATGGAATGGCCCACTCCAGGACTATGACCCGGGGTTGTGGGGCGAAAAGCGTCAATATTTCCTTCCATAGTTTTAATAGCATGCTGCATTGAACTTGCAACATGTTTTTTACTATCTCTCGAAATGCTCTGTCCATCAGGACTAAAGGGGCATTTGTGACACTTGATGTTCTTTCTCATTTTCAAACTTCTTCCCTCAATGCAAAGTACATGAGAGAACATCATTACTATGAAAAACAAACAGGTAAAGATGACCTTGGCCATTGTCAAAGGGTTGAGTGTTTATCAGTTTAATGTTTTGTTTTACTAAGCACTAAACTGAGCGAACTCAAGAGTAAAGATACGAGAAAGAGGAAGAAGAGGAAGATACTTGGAACCCTTCACCTAAATCGGTATTTATAGAGTTCAAAAAGCTACATAGCATATAATATTTCATGTGAGGTGAGGTCCCAAGTCTCTAGGCTCGGTCCACAATAGAGAAAAAAAAAAAAAAACCAGAAAGGAAGATTTCATAGCACCTACACTGAAGGAGAACAAAGTAATATAAATGAATTAAGTAAGGACCTCTTATGAAACCCTATTCTAGGGTTTCGCCAAGCAAGCCCCTAGAGTACACAAGCTGTAAGTTTTCATAGCTTAGTTTGCATAAGCTTTTAAGATAATAATGCATGTTACATGCAACTGCCGCCTCGTTTTTCCCTCTGTCCTTAACTGTAGAACAAGTTCAAAGGCCGTTTTAATATTTAGGCCTAGAAAAGAAATTAAATTGATGTACTATAGAGTTTTCTTTTTCTTTTCTATAATTTATTTCATTATAATGGTACTTCCCTTTCAGTAAAAAAATGTTTTGTTACTTGAACTACTTGCAGGTGACAAAGGGCCGTTTGTTTTTCCTTAATATTTATGTAGACAAAAAGTGAACCCAAGAAGGTGGAACTGTATATAGGGAAGGATTCTCTTGGCCTCCCCCTCCAATGTAAAGAAAAATTAAAAGGTGTCCTTGTTCGTGTATAAATATAAAAAGGTGTCCTTGTTTGTGTATAAATATTTATGAATAACTTCAAACTTACTGCAGAATCATGCTAGCTAGCTACTTCAGCAATATTTTTGTGGCATATAAAATATCACTGTAAAACGCTGTTTGAGGAGCTGCACATGGAAGAGTTTTCGACTCTTAAGTTGTCCGCCCACAATCTCCCGCTTGCAAAAAGAATAATTTTCTGTCGATCTTCTTAATTTTATTAGATTCTCTTTGTTTCTATCTTTGCAAGTTGTAACGTGGGATTAAACAAGAGTTAAAAAGGCCAACATTATTTAGTTGTATGTCTAAGCACAGTTTTCAAGGAATCTAATTCGTGATTACTTTGCACGATTCCATAGAATCCTCCCGAAAATTTGCGGCTGGTTATCTCCAACTCCCAGTCTCAACCATGCATATTCCATATTCTATATGATAAGTACCATAATCTACATGACAACCAACTCCAGATCACGCGGTTGAACTTAAAAGATTTATTAAATAATGATTAACTTCAGTAGTTATTTTTAATTTTTTCTAATCGACTTTAAAACTTTCCAACAAGTAATGCTGGCCCCAACTCCCCAAGGAACATGCATCCAACACACAGAAATGCTAATAATCGAATTTCCTATTCAGTTTCAAATTTGCCTAACCAAAAGTAACCTAAATTTGAATGGAAAGATTGAATACCGAAGGTTTCTGTTATTTATTGTGTGAAAATTAAAGGGAAAGCTAATTAAGTGTTGCAGAGATGTCGACATGCATGCTTAATTTTCTATGATGAACTTTGGGGTTCTCTGGTAGCTTTTTTAATTTATAAGTTGTGTTAATATAATATTTCTCTTTCTCCCTCTCTCTCCTTTTTTTTTCATGTAAATTAATGGCAATTAGAAATACCTGATCAACTTTGTTGATGAATGACGAAGAATGCTAAGGACCTAGCTAGGGTGGAGTGCCCCTTCAATTTAAAGTTGAGTTAAACGAAAAAAGCACGACACGAAAAAAAGCACGGTGCAGCACGACCCATGATTATGTGGGCCGTGCCATGGGCCTTAAAAAAGGCATGTTGGCCAGTGCGGCATGACACCAAAAAAATAAAAAAATATTTAAAAAATAAAATAAAATACTAATCTATGTTTATAGCTAAAATATATTTAAAGATTTTAAGAATTTAGAAAATTAATGAAAATAAAAATGTATAAAAATTCTTAATCCTAATTTCTAAATTTGTATTTGTAATTTATAATTATAACTTATAAGTAATAAAAAGTGTTGAAATACAATTAATATTTCAATGTCTCATTATTTTATTATATTTCATAGTGATTATATTTTTTTAATTAATATAAATACAAAATGTCATTAAATATAATATATAAAATATTTTTAGAATAATTATTAATAATAAATCAAAATTATCATAATTTATAAATATTAAATATTTTTACAAAGCACGCGGATCAACCCACAACACGATCCAAGGTACGACACGATATATAACAGGCCGTGTTGCAGGCCCTCAAATTTGGTGGACCGGCATGACACGGTTCACGACACAATGAGTCTTGAATTTTTAGGTAAGGCATGGTTCACTGTCTACTGTAAGTTTAGCCATGTAGACCAATGTTGACTAATTGGTCCGCTGCACCGTTTCTTTTCGTGTAAAAATGCGAGAAATTAAAGGTCATAATGAAACTAAGATGATGAAGGTGTTCAATTAATCCATTTCTTGTGAAAAATTGCCACGAAGGCTAGAAAGAGCCAGAGGAAAGACATGTCAAAGCAACGGAGGAGTCACGTGATAATTAACCAAACATTCATCCTTTAGAATAATTTATTTTAAAGCAATAATAAAAATGAAGTTTGAACTCCCATTTACAGCATAACGAAATTTATAATTTAGCTTTTTACCTAAAAAAATTAATTTATAATTTAGCTAATCATAAATGTTGATGTAAAGGGGTTTTTTAATTTTAAACCAATTTTTATTAATAAGATTTTACCTTTTCATAAATTTAACGCGGAGAAATACAGATCAACATAAATAAACCTTCAAAAGTTGAAAATATCTCACTTTCAAATTAAAACCAAACAATACTATAAAGTTACAAGAGATTCATTATTTCTTTGCCTTTTGACCATTTCAACGCACGCCATACTAAAGGACTCCTAATTATTAGTAAGTAGTATATATATCTTATAAATTCCCTTATTTAATAGGTACTTTATTTTTTTTATCATGATATATTAATTTATTCAACAATATTAAATCAGGCCAGAAGAGCAAAGCATAAAAATGGTTAAAGAAAAAAAAAAAAAAAAATTGGAGTTGGTGGTTGCGGCCGGCTATCATGTGCCGGTGCCGCCATCTCTGTTTCTTTTGTGCATATTCGATATATAATTCATATATTAAATCTCATCTCCATTGTATTTTATAATAGTAAAAAGTCTTTACTCGACTCTTCCGACTGGGACCTGGGAGCACTTTTCTTAGCCGTTTATAGTTTTATACTTTCAAAGATACCTTGATGCTTTAGGATTTCTTATACAATTAGCATGTATATAAAGTTGGGGAAAAGACTGCCCCAAATGGTAAGCTGTCTTAGTTCTTTTCTATATCTTAATTAAATATTGATATCCCTTTTTATTGAGGTTTTATATGAATCGACCCACTTTTGGGTCTATATACATTCATGTATTCATGTATGAAGTATGAACATGCATAAATCAAAAGCTGACATGCATATGCATAATAAACTGATAGACATATATGCGTATTTATGTTTTTATATGTAAATTTAATTTAGTTCACTTTTCAATATAAAATTTGTGTCTTTTTATATAAGAAATTCATCAAAGTTTGGTCTTTCGATGTTACTTACCATGGTCTATTGCTTTTCATTTTTAAAAATTAGGACATCTGTGTCTAAAATTTTTTGTACATGTATGTGAGTATGTTTTTATCCTATGAATGGACTTATACTTTTTTTTCTTTTTCTAATATTAGCAACTAGTCTCTAGGAGAAAAACAACTATCAATTCTCCCCTGAAAGGGTGGTAAGAATTTGTGAAATTTTGTATTTTAACGATTTCAAGTTGGCAAAATGACAAAAAATAAAAAATAAAAAATTGTAAACTCTTATCAAATCTTTTATGAGTTGTGGTGCGTATTTAAGACAAACAATAACCCCAAGGGGTTGACCTAACGGTCAAGAAGATTTATTCAATTCCTTGAGTTCTTGGGTTCAAACCTTAGAGTCACCAACTATAATAACATTTTGATTTATCTGGTCTTTTGAGATTGTAGGGTGTTTAATGGATTCTAGAGATGAGTTGTTGTGTGTACAAGCTGGTCCTGACACCCCGGATATCAAAAAAAAAAAAAAAAAAAAATGCATAATTGAGTGATTGATTATAGTGCTTTGGTTACCGAAATATACATTCAACGCCTATATCTTAAATCGAATTCCTAATTATATATGGTAATGATTAATAATTTGATCCTTGAGGTATGCGGAATATATTAACACATTAGAGAGACAAGCAAGTATATATTTTTGTTATATTCATGCATTTTGTTTACGACAGTGAACACAAAAGAGCTACACCCTATGATACATTGACGCAAATATAATTTTATCTTTTCAATATTTCATATGTGTTGTGTGTATGTTAATATTTGCATAAAATATTTTTTTTAGAGTGATTAAAAATAGAAAGACATACTTCTTCTTTAGTACTCAATGAATATTCTTTCAAATTATATGATGGCGCGCACGAATACGTCTTCTACGCTTTTCGCTTATTTTTTTTCCATAAACGGATGTTGAATGATATTAACAAAGCTAAAAGTTATATTAAGATGTTAATTATTTCATTTCATATCTCCATTGATGTTGTGTTGTGGCTTTTAGATTTTTTGCGACAGAGAGAATTTCGAAAATACTTAAATGTTTTTTATTAATAATAATAGCGTGGCGGCTGAGTCCACAGAGAGACTTTATGACATACATAAATGAGCTAGCTTCAACATGGGATAATATCTACCGCGTTAACAGACCTAAATGAATAATACATGACCTTAATGTGTATGTACATCTTTATGCTTTTGGTTCTGCACTTTTGTTTGAAAGAAGGTGGCCAACGCCAGGGCTGTGTCCAGGTGTTGTGGGTCGGAAATCATCCTTAGATCCAGTAGTAGAATGTCCACCATTAAGGCTATGATCTCCTTCGACTTTGGATTCAACATCTTCTTCCTCTTTCGTATGTTTATGGCCAACACCAGGACTGTTACCTGGTGTTGTAGGTCGAAAATCATCTTGGTGTACTGTTGCAGAAGCACCAAAACTCATGGGTGGGAATATTTCCTTTTCCCCTGTCATACTCACAGTGTTTTCAGCACTAGAAATGTCAACACTAGGTTTTGTTGACTGTAAAACTTCTTTGAGACCTGCAGCATTCTGTTGCAAACTGATGCTTTGGCTGCCTTGCTTTGCTGTTTCTTCTTTCTCCTTGTACTTTAACTGCCTTCCTTCAGCCGAAAGAATTGCATGGCAGGCTATGCAAGCGAAAAGAATAACACATTTGTTCATGGATCGGCTTTCCACCATCTTTGGAGAAGGGACGAATTACTTAAATGATGGAATATTGAGAGCTTGCTGAAGGAATATAGTTCAAACTACAAGAGATTTGACGAGGAAGAAGCTATAAGGAGGTAGAATTAATTCAACACGGTGATGACAGGCTCTTGTCTATTTAGGTATTTATAAGCTTAAAAAGCATGCACTGTGAAGATCCTAGACACTAATCATCATTTCATCAACTATAAAATTAAAATAAGTGGACCCGCGTCCAAATCAATTTCGACGGTTTATGTGTAACTAACATTTAAAAGGCCGTCTCTATATCTTTGCATATAATTAATTGGATCTTTTGAAGATCTCTCACCACAGGTTGCAATTTGCATGTCCATTCTTATATTTTAACTTCTACTTTTAGTTAATTAAATCATTCCTTAACATATATAGAATGTGAGAATGAAGCAGCAGTGACCAACTTCCAGTTTTTCTTGAAGCTAAATATCCTTGACCTTTCAATATGCTGAACTGTTGCTTTATGTTGTTTGAAGTTTGTAAGGGCGGTATCTATTTAATCAATTTCGTTACATAGACTGTTGATAAGAGAAGGTAGCTAGGTATCCCTAGAATAATGAAAATTATCAAAGTTGGGAGGCTCCGCCACCACCGAAATACATCAATAAGTTAGGGATTCGCCTGTACTATCCACTTGCAAATGTATAGTTTTTTATGTTGATGGTTCGTGTGCAAGTAAGAAAATTCTTTAATTTGGTCGACAAATTCAAGTGAAACACACCTGTCCTTCGAAATTTTTTAGTTTATGGTCTGTTGCAAACTACCAAATGGGCTGAATGATTACTTGCCTGCTGAAAGCTACAGATTCCTCAAAGTGGTATTTATAAATAATTTTTCATAAAGATTCTTGAATTAATTACTACAATAATAGCCTTACATGTATATAATTGCTAATGAGCATATTGCTTTGAAAGGGGCTGTTGATTAGTATTGTATGACCGAATTTAGCTCCTTTTTTAATTCAAATTAACTCTACAGAGTAAAAATCGAAATGAAATTGTCATAAGTGATAAATTTTCAAAATTTGTGCATTTATTATTATCATTATTAACGGTCAATCAAGAACCGTAAAACTATTTTAAAGTTGAATTAAAAGCTCAAATCACAAATATACATGCATGTATGTCTCGGTTAAAAATTAATTTCCATTTCAAAGGAGCAGCCCACCACATATTAATTGGTCAAAAGAAATTATCTGTGCCAGTGTTAGTTTGAGAGCATTTCTTATTTTTATTGAGTCGATAGTGCATCACCGTCCCACGCAAATTATCTTAGATTAATAAGAGGTTTAGGGACCCAAAAGCTGATTAAGGTCAACCTCTTTCAAAATATTGTCTTTAATAATATTGCATAATTGCACTTACAAACGTTTTGACTTGTTAATTATAATGATGCCAGAAATCTCTCTTTATGCGTTTGAGATTTAACTTTTTTCAATCTATCTTTTTTTTAAAGTAAGCTTTCATTATAATAGAGAAAAAGAATGTATAAGACCTGAGGTAGGTTGACCGCCTTTTATATATATATATATATATATTTTTTGGAAAAGGTAAATTTTATAGTTTCTCTCTTTTTATGAAAAAAAATGTATGTATAAAAGACCTATAAAAGGTGGCAGCCTACTTCAAGACAAACCCTTAGGTTAGGACAAAAAAAAAAAGCTTATACAAGACTATGCATTAGCACAAAAATCTCTTCCTACCTCGAGAGATTCCTCGGGTCAGGAACAAAACCAAGAAAGTCAGAAGACAATGCCCAAAAAGGCTACAAAAGCCATAAAACCATCTCTCCTCGAACCGAAAATGGCAAAGACTCCACCCGTAATGCCAATAGCCCAAGGCACCGAGAAAGTTATATATATATATATATATATATGCCTTAGATTTCGGGGACATTCAAAAATCGGAAATGACTGAAAAAATGGCCAAAGAACCGAAAAAAACCCACCTGATACACCACTGTTGTCGACGCACGCAGACCTGGCATGCCCAGCATTGCGGGCGCGCCTGCACCATCAAAAAGACAGTCACCTCGACGCCTGCCTTCCACCAACTTCCACCAGTCCCCATAGCCTATACAAGACTATTTATTTTTTAGAGCTCACTTAAAACAGATAGCAAAACTTAATTTCTTTTTCTTTTTTTTGATGCAAAAGATATTAGCAATATTTTCTAAAAAACATTTATTTAAAAAAAAAAAGTTATTTATATATCGTGTTAATGTTTTTGTCACCTTATGATCCTGTTTTGAGTCCTGCACTATTTTTTTCTTTCTACCATTATGGGCACGCTTACTAAAAGTGAACACTTTCGCAAGTGTGAGCACTTTAGCATGTGTGTGCTCACAATGCATTTGACATATTTTTCCCCTCAATCACACTTTACACAGTCGTTTTACTTTTGTGACAATATTATTCATTGTTGACATTCTATTTGTTTCTTTTACATTTGTCCACCTTTTATATTATAGAGATCTTTCCTTTATAATTTATATAAAAGCTATATCTTCTTATTCTTTAAATATGAGCATAATTCACCAAAGACTCGTAACTTGAGTGGAGCAAATTAAATATTTCTACTGCGTGCATGACTTAAAATCATTACTAGTAGTTGGAGTTCGAGACAGACTTTCTAGAAGTTAATTTGTATTGTACATATAGAATATTTGATTTTAATTTTATTATTGAAGTTTACTGCATATATATGGTAGGATTTATAGGTGATAGACATTTGATGACTGAATTCCCCTTTGAAAGATCCGTATTTAGTGAACAATCTACAACAAACTATATTTCTGCATGGAACAGTACCATATTGAGATATAAATATATTTAGTGAACAATCTACAACGAACTATATTTCTGCATGGAACAGTACCATATTGAGATATAAATATATTTAGTGAACAATCTACAACGAACTATATTTCTACATGGAACAGTACCATATTGAGATATAAATATATTTGCCTTCATCAGAAAATTTAATTAGCATGCATTGTAGTTTTTTTTTTTTTGGGTCTACCCGGTAATTGATTCTCCCGCAACTTGATCCCGATAATTGCCTATTCCATAACTCGAATACAAAACCTCTGGGTATAACTAACCCTAGTAACTAAAATGCTTGCTATATGGCCACAAGGGGAGAGAGACATTATAATTTATATAAGACTAAATATTAACATTCAACCTCTAAATTTATTAGCTTAAACTTTTAGATCAAATAGTAACTTAATATATTATGAGAGTCAAAAGTATGATAATTTAACAGTTTAGAGAGCTTTACATCAAATGTAGTTGTATTTAGAAGAAAACATAGCTAATCAAGTTGTTGGCAATTCAGTTAACACACTTTGGCGTTTAAGTACCTATTTTAAGGTGCAACGGAATATTACCAAGTTGATTAAGCAATTCCAATTTGAGTACATCAAACATAAGTACGGAAAGTAAAGAACACAACCATATTCATGGTTCGGTTAAATCCACTTTTAGCCTACATCCATGGGACCTTGTCCAGATCGAAGCAATCCACTAAGTCAAAAACACATTACAAGATATAGTTAAAAACTAATCTAAGTTACAGTATAAAGAACTCCCTGTTTAACTTTACACTTAGCACCACAGTCTGAATCCTTAACATGTAGCAACTTCTTTGGATCTACTTCACACTGGGAACACACCTATGAATAGCTTGTAAACCACCAAGCTTCAAGTGCTAAAGCAACACACCAGCATCAGCAAGGGAACCACGTTCCAAGAGCCATCAAGTTAATGTTTAATATGGTGAGGTTTTGTCACTAATGGAGAAAGAACCTTGAACCTTTAGGAGAAATAATACTCTCAGAAATTCAGAGTATAGAATGAAACAAATGTCTAAAAAGGTTATATTCATTTACACAAGAAGAAGAAATATATGATGAAGAGTTTCTTGCTTAGCAATGAAGTGCCACATCAGCTAACAAGGGGATGACCCATTGTTTGTCCAAATAAGGAAAGTATTCCTTCTGTTTGTTTGGACCACAAAGCAAATCGGAAAAGGTTACTTTATTCCTTAGGACCACCTAAGCATTTTGTGATATACGTAAAGAGGTCCTAAAAAGTAAGAGACAAAGATAAACAATATATTTTCAACTTTATCAAACATGCAACTCGTGTTGAGTTGCAAAAAATATGAAGCGAGACTATAAACATAGACCGTTGTGCACACACACGCAAAATGAAACAAGCGAAGACACAAGTCTGGCAAATAGTGTGCACTGAGAATTGGTGTGCACACACACAACAGATGAAACAAGCCAAATAAGAGAATTGGCAACTGGTGTGCACACATAACTGTTGTGCACACACACAACTAATAAGTTTGACAAAAATGAATATTCCACATTCTCCCCATTTGTCAAACTTATGAACAAAGAACATAATTAAAGAGATCAAGTGCAAACCTGTTTAAATCAATCATTTAAGACTTGCAGATTTGCACAAACAAACATGAAAACAAACTAACCAAAGTAACACATATGAAAACACATGGTTAGTACAAAAAACAAATAACCAAAATAAAGAAACTAAGAAGTTCAACAGAAACAGAAAAAAAATATCCACCAAAGAAACAAACTCTCCCATGGAGAGATAATCACAAAAAAAAAGTTTAGTCCAAAGGCTAAAAAAAACTCCCCCATGCTTCTTATTCCCCCTCTTTGTTCATAAATCTTGAAGATTTTCGAGAGGATTGAGAAGAATGGCCAGTTTTTCTCTTGGTTCTGCATTTCGGAGGGGCTGTAAGAGTGTATGCGAGTCATCTACTTGAATTTCAGGGATCGCAGCAGGAGAGGTGTCAACAAATTCATCTTGACTTGAAGAAGCATCATCAGTGGGCACATGGGTATATGTTGGAGCAACTGCATCTTGATCAGCAAGTTCTTGATCATCTTTATCTTTAACTGCTTCTTTTACTTCCTCA